CTTTAAGCACAAAAAAAAGAAAAACAGCTTCAAAGTGATTTATTTAAAGAATAGGTATGAATTAATTATATAAAAACGGATCAGTTAGTTGTCAAGTAATTATATATTGCAATATATGTATAATCCTAAACAGTACATAATCAGTTAATCATTTTTAATTTTGACATCACAGTTTTATTAATTAATTTTTTTTATACTTTGATAAATGTAATATATTTTAACATACATGATATAAAATTTATCAGAACTTTGTTCTCAGAACTTATAAATTTCCTTTTATTAATTTCATGCATATAACTTATTAATTTGTACTTTCAATTACACATTTCATGTATTGTATATCATATATATTAAATCCTATATTTTTTAATAGCTTTTTTATTTGAAAAAGATTAACCGTACGAGTATTTTTAACCGGTTTGATTAATATTATTGATTTTATACTGTTTAGTGATATGTAAAAAACGAAACAATGATATGTACTTATTTGCACGCATAATTGTGCATGCAAGATATATGATTCGTCGGTTCAAGTTCGAATCATTTGCGATAATATCCAAGACTTTATTAAACTTTGCAATTTAGAGAAATTTGGATTGCTTGGTTAAACAGGGTTTTGATAGAGAAAGCCACAACGAATGGAATTGCTTATTCGATTTACTGCCAAATTGTGACGCTCTAAACTTATAATTATTCATGTTGTATAATGTCATGTTGCGCTTAGTAAAACAGAAATGTTTTCTTACTCCATCTATCATGGTATGGTTTATCGCAAAAGATTCGGCCCTCCGAATAATCTGAAAATATTCTATCATTCGATTTTGAAGGATGACAAATGATGTAGTGATGGGATCTTTCAGAAACTTGCAAAACATTTTCTCTTCACAATTTAACCATTATTTCATTTCTATAATACATGGATTTTCGAAGCACATAATTTATAGACAACGGTATTTCGAAAAAATAAAGGAAAAAGTTATATATAAAAATGGAAATATGTAAAATCATATTGAAAGTTAACGAAATGTGCGTAATGAGTATTATATAATAATGTGACATTTTTGCGCATTTCCACCACACCCCTACATCTTTGTTTCCCTCTTCACTCTTTTCTCTTTCTTACATCACTCATCCCAGAAATGTTGCGTTTATACTATCCGATTGCATCATAGAGAAAGATCGTTTATTATATTAATTGCAGATTTTACGATTATAAATATATATTATATATTAGAAATTGTGAAATACTCGTAATAAAAAACACATCGACGCTTCCTGTGATTTCTAGACTGTTTTAATTGTCATATGTCCCTATTTTGAATTGTGCTCGTATGTTGTAACAATCTTTCCTTTTTCATCAATAACAAAGTAAAATAAAAAGTTCAATATACGCATATTAATTTCCATCTTCAAACAATAATATGCAATTGAGCAACAGGTACAAATAATAAAAATTCTATATAATTTAGCTACATTTACAACTGTTTATTAGAGTTTCTAAAACAAATTGTCCCTGAGATCACAACAAGATCAAGACTATAAAATTTTTTTATACATAATTTTTATGTATCAAAAAAATTGATCATCATCATTATCATCTTCGCTATAATAATTATCGCCATTCTCGAAGTATTCATTCACATAATCAGTTCCATCATCCATCTCATCAATTTCCTCTTCATCTTTTGCACCTTCTCCCGTCTCCTTCTCTTCACCGTCTTCATCTTCATCTCCTTCCTCTTTGCCCTCTTCTTCTACCTCAGGTCGTTGTACGTCTTCTTTTTTCTCCAGTTCTGCTAGTTTCTTAATGATATCCATTTCCTTCTTCTTCTTGTTTCGACTTGTATTTTGCTGTTGGGATTTTCGTTTTCTCGATAATTTTAATTCCATTGGCATTATATTCCAATCGTGACGTGTCTCATATTCTGATTTATTACGTTCTGCAATGGTCTCTTCAAAATCTTCATAGAATCGTTCAACATCCTCATTTAATACAGCAGCTTGCACATTGTTTGGTGATTCTCGCATATAATCAGTAAAATCCCTTTTTAATTCTACCAAGTAACTCATCTCAGTGGTTAGCTGAATAGGTAGAGGCTTGTGATCCAGCGGGGGATAACTTGGAGATGGCTGCAGAACTGATGCTGGTAATGTTTCCCCTTTAGAGATGCCCAATTGCTCCATGGAAAACGACATGGCAGGCTTTCCTCTACTACGTCCTGCCATTCTGACTATTACTTTATATCCTAGTGTAGTAATTAAATTAATTAAAACAATATCAATAAAATTTATTAAAGTTAGATTATGCAACATTTCTAAAAAAAAAATATGTAAAACAAAACATATACAAATTAAATACACTCATCTGATAACTAAACAATTTTATGAACTTATATTTTAATTCAAAATTATAATTTTCTTCAGTGGATAAAGAAAAAGATACAAAACCAAAAAGAACAAAAACGCTTGACTAGATCATCAAGCAGTAAGTTTTCTTTGTTAATCTGTTTTTATATGAAAATATTAAATATGCATCTTTAGCAATCTTTATAATATATTCTTTATAGATTTATAAGATTAAATAATATTCAATTAATTAATTTAATAATGCAAATTTATAATTTCAGCTTGATCAATGTTATGTTTCAAGATTGAATAATAACTGATGTAAATTAAAAGCAATATATTTAAAAAATTTACAAAATATATGGTTACAAGGTACAAGATTATGCTATACGATCAAGAAGTCATAGTTTATATTGTGTCGTAAAGACTTTATTTATTTATTTATTGAATATATTTTTAAAATCTATGGCATGTTTTTTAAAAATCTGAAATATATAATCTAAATCTTAATCATATTTACTGATTAATTTTAATCATTATTTACTAATTATTCTTCATATCTACGATCTTTAGAACAATCCATAAATCATAGTTTTACGCATAGATCACAGCTTTACATATATTTAAAATTTCTGCTTAAGTCATAGGATTGCATCTTTACAATCTTAACCTATTTTAGAAAATTTTCAGAAAAGTATGTTTACCTTTTAAACTTTTTGTGCCGTTAATATCTTCTTTCCGTTTTTCTTCTCGAATTCTTCTTGTTTAGCACGAAATACTTCCCTATCGTAGATTACTTTGATCATAAGGGAACAAGAAGGACACGTAACCTCTACTTCACCGGCAGCCAATTCAATAAGAGATATCTGAAATTGATCGCCGCACGGACAGGGGTAATAATAAATTTCCTCGTCCTGGTCGTATTCAAAATCGTCGATTTCCACTTCGTCGTAATAAACTGATTGTGACATAATTGCTTAAATAATATTCAAAATTATTTCCGCGTGGCCACACTACTTCAATGACAACAACAATACCACGGTAAAATAGATTCACTTTGTGTCGACATCTTTGATCTGGAGGTCTATTGGCTGTGTGTTCAGCAGAAAAAGCGGAAGCATCTCAAATGCGTCATTTTCAATCGCCATTGGCAAATGCCTAGGAATTTTCCAGTGAGCTCCTATCAAAAAATCTATTAGCAGCTTTTCAATTGTTGTAATATTCTTCAATATATTATAGCATTTAAGCATGTTGAGTTATCAAAAGACGTTGTAGAGTTTATATTAGTTAGATATTATTTGTAATATTGTTAAATATTTCGTTTGACACACATTGTAGATATCATGGCCTTCAAAACTGTTTACATGCCGCGGCTGTGGTATGCAGCTCGCGCCGTGTTTATGTTTATGAGCGCGCGCCGTGTTTACGAGCACTCCATGTCTTATCATTCGTTATCCGGCATTCGTATGAACAAGTTGCGGAGTGTGTCGCTTCGCGTTTCTCTATATTTTTTCATTGTAGGGCCGTGGCATATACATTCGTTCAAACAGATTATATTACTACTAATAATATAATGAAAATCGAGATAAATGTATCGAGATAAACTTGATTTAATGTCGCACAATATTAATTTATTCATATTAGATATGAAATTTTCAAATGGAAGCAAGTTATTTCATTTCTATTTGATATATATATTTACATAATTCAAACAATACTTGCCCCTGTTTCTTTTACGACGCCGAGGTCACGTGACGTCACGCACCGGCGCGGCGGCGTATCGCGCTACCCTTGGTCTTCTCGTTGCGTCATATTTGTTCGCGCCGTGCGCCGGATAGGACGCTTCGTATTTCTCGCGTTTCCAAAATTCAAATTACACGTAAATAGAATATCTAGAATATCGAACATGGAAATGGGTAATTATTAGATTACATAAATAACTGTGTAATATATAAATAGAATCCCATTCATTCGTGAAATGCGACAATCGCGTACTTGTATCGTAACAGGATAAAATCTCGCGCGCGTATTCGTTCGAACAGATTATATAGCTCGCGTAATAATACAATGAAAATATCGAGACAAACGAGATTTAATGTCGCACAATATTAATTTATTCATATTAAATATGAAATTTTCAAATGGAAGCGAGTTATTTTATTTCTATTTGATATATTTATTAACGTAACTTAAACAATTCTTGCCGCTGTTGCCTTTACTCGCCGAGGTCACGTGACGTCACGCGCCGGCGCGGTGTCGTATCGCGCCACCCTTGATCTTCTCATTGCGCATATTTGTCGCGCCGTGCGCCGGATAGGACGCTCCGTATTTCTCGCGTTTCCGAAACTCAAATTATACGCAAATAGGATGTCTAGAATATCGAACATGGAAATGGGTAATTATTTTATTACATAAATAACTGTGTAATATATAAATAGAATCTCATTCATTCGTGAAATGCGACAATCGCGTACTTGTATCGTCACAGAATAAAAATTTCGCGCGCATATTCGTTCGAATAGATTATATTATTCGCTTAATAATACAACAAAAATATCGAGACAAACGCGACGTAGGTTTAATATTAATATAATCATATTAGGTATGAAATTTTCAAATCGAAATGAGATATTTCGTTTTAATTTAATATACATATTTACGCATGTGACCGTCATCATCAACATATCGCGCGGTCTTCTTGCTGCGTCATATTTGTTCGCGCGTGTTCCGAATCAAACGTTCCATGTTTCTTGCGTTCCATGTTTCTTGCGTTTCAAATTCAATTGCCCGCAGATATGATACCTAAAGTGCTAATGTGGACAGATTATTTTATTGCGTAAGTAATAGTGCAGTGAGTAAATATAATCCCATTCGTTTATAAATTGTTACTTTATACAATTTTCGTACCTGTTGCGTCGCGGCAAGTGAAATTCTCTCGTGGCTCGCGTAAATGTCAAGAGTATCGAATAAAGTGATCGTTGTTAATGTGTATGTGATTCGAGAAAGCTGTCA